GTTCAGGTGTATATCAGTATGTAGTGTCTCTACTTTAAAGAGTCCTCTCCTGCTGATGTTCAGGTGTATATCAGTACGTAGTGTCTCTACTTTAAAGAGTCCTCTCCTGCTGATGTTCAGGTGTGTATCAGTATGTAGTGTTTCTACTTTAAAGAGTCCTCTCCTGCTGATGTTCAGGTGTATATCAGTATGTAGTGTCTCTACTTTAAAGAGTCCTCTCCTGCTGATGTTCAGGTGTATATCAGTATGTAGTGTCTCTACTTTAAAGAGTCCTCTCCTGCTGATGTTCAGGTGTATATCAGTGTCTCTACTTTAAAGAGTCCTCTCCTGCTGATGTTCAGGTGTATATCAGTATGTAGTGTCTCTACTTTAAAGAGTCCTCTCCTGCTGATGTTCAGGTGTATATCAGTATGGAGTGTCTCTACTTTAAAGAGTCCTCTCCTGCTGATGTTCAGGTGTATATCAGTATGTAGTGTCTCTACTTTAAAGAGTCCTCTCCTGCTGATGTTCAGGTGTATATCAGTATGTAGTGTCTCTACTTTAAAGAGTCCTCTCCTGCTGATGTTCAGGTGTATATCAGTATGTAGTGTCTCTACTTTAAAGAGTCCTCTCCTGCTGATGTTCAGGTGTATATCAGTATGTAGTGTCTCTACTTTAAAGAGTCCTCTCCTGCTGATGTTCAGGTGTATATCAGTATGTAGTGTCTCTACTTTAAAGAGTCCTCTCCTGCTGATGTTCAGGTGTATATCAGTATGTAGTGTCTCTACTTTAAAGAGTCCTCTCCTGCTGATGTTCAGGTGTATATCAGTATGTAGTATCTCTACTTTAAAGAGTCCTCTCCTGCTGATGTTTCAGGTGTATATCAGTGTCTCTACTTTAAAGAGTCCTCTCCTGCTGATGTTCAGGTGTATATCAGTATGTAGTGTCTCTACTTTAAAGAGTCCTCTCCTGCTGATGTTCAGGTGTATATCAGTATGTAGTGTCTCTACTTTAAAGAGTCCTCTCCTGCTGATGTTCAGGTGTATATCAGTATGTAGTGTCTCTACTTTAAAGAGTCCTCTCCTGCTGATGTTCAGGTGTATATCAGTATGTAGTGTCTCTACTTTAAAGAGTCCTCTCCTGCTGATGTTCAGGTGTATATCAGTATGTAGTGTCTCTACTTTAAAGAGTCCTCTCCTGCTGATGTTCAGGTGTATATCAGTATGTAGTGTCTCTACTTTAAAGAGTCCTCTCCTGCTGATGTTCAGGTGTATATCAGTATGTGGTGCCTCTTTTCACCCTCTGTCTGAAAGCAGTCTCATACAAAGAAAATACCTTTGTGTTTTTATTGCAGTGCAATTTAATGTCCTTTTTTTTTAAATACATGAAATGTGAATCGTCTTTATTGTTAAACGTGCCATATTTTTCTGTTTTATAGCTGACAAAGAGAGCGTCTACGAGGAAGAGGACACCACCACCAACCCCAGGAAGAGAAAGATCCGCCCACCCCCCCCAAGCCGCCCCGCCGCCAAGAAGAAGCGACGGTCCTAAATGTCTCTTACAAACACACACGTACACACACACACACACACACTGCCAAACCTAGACCTTTCATTAACCCCAAATGGCTCTTCTCACTCATACATTTACAAACACACACACAATGTGTATATAGACGTAGACGCCCCTTATTTTTCGTGTTGGTCAGTGAAGTGTCATGTTGAAATGGTAGGAAAGAACGAGCGGTCACACACACTTCATTCATCACCCCCCCCCCCCTTAATTCCTTCCATCTCCATCCACCCATCAGGTGTCATGTTTGTGTGTCTGTGTGCGTGCATGTGTGTTTAAATGGGTTTTTATTGCGAGCATTGTTTGTTTTCCGTTTGGAAAAAAAGATTTGTTTTTCTTAACTAATGGATAATAAAATGAAAAAAGGCTTGACATATCCTCTGCCAAGTGTTTTATATCAAATCTGAGAAACTCTCCTCGTGTACGTTTCACTTCCCCTCATGTTTTCTTCAATATTTGTTCAATTGAAGTAATAATATGGAATTTTTTTGAAGGGGGGGGACGGATACATTCTCTGATTTATTCTTCTTTTTAATGGGGATCGTAAACTTATGCGCACACACACACACACACACACCACTTCCCTCGCACTTGTTCTCTGTTTCCCCCTTCCTTTTTTTTCAGTAGATTTGTTGTTGTACTGTTAATTCTGAAAATCCTGTTTTTTGTTTTTGTAATAAAATTAAAAGGAACTGTAGATTTGAATGCTCTTTTTCTTTGTCGGCACATTTGGAAACGTAACACTAGACTTGTTCAAGGGCTGCACAACACACACACACACACACAAACGCGGGGTGACATTTCTGTGGCTGTTTTTACAGAAAGTAGAAAATGTGTCACCCTCGTCAATCTGCGTGGAAACCTCCTCGCACTCGGAATATATTTTTTTTTAATGCTTTAACTTTTCAACTGTAATCGGTACATTTGAGGCCATTAAGGATCATAAGTAAGTTGATTTGTCCAAAGGCTATTTCAATCATTAACAAATGGTTGTTTTAGAATGATCCAACTTGTGAATTTCTGCTGATATTGCTTAGCGATTTCAAAGGTTTAATGATTTAATTTCTTTACAAAAGACATGCTACATCATCGAGTGCCGCCAAAGAACTGTTCCAATGTCCAGCATACTTGGAATTCTACCGAGGCCGGCGTACTTCGTAGCGAGAAATTTCGAGGCTGTACATGTGTAGACTCGGTGGTCTTAAAATCCCCACAATGCTTTGCGCACGGACCAATTTCCAAATCTTTGGTGGAAATCGTGCTCCATTTAAGGCGGGGCCTCATATGATGCACACCTGTTAACCTGTTCCACAATTATTCATTTTCCGTGGCTAGGAAGGATTCTTGCCTCGCTTATGAAGGAACTGAATCGGAAGACGTGTCCTACCAAGGAAGCGTCCTCGACATTGAGAAACACCCAGTGTCCACTGTCTTAAAATCCCCACAATGCTTTGCACACGTATAATTTCCCAAATCTTTGTCAGAAAATGTAAGGCGGGGCCTCTCATATGACGCACACTTGCTAGCCTGTTCCATTCTTCATTCTCTGAATGAAAGGAAGGATTCTTGCCTAGCCTCTGATGGACCTGACTCGGAGGGACATGTCCTACCAAGGAAGCGTCCTCGACATTGAGAAACACCCTCAGTTATTTCCTTAGATTTTTCACAAGGTAATCATCTTCGTTTCAAATATTTTTATTGAGAAGAAGCATACAAGTGTAAGCAATAGTCCAGACTTCTTTGGGGTGGAAATCATGCTTTAAGGTAATCATTTTCAATGTAGTCATTAAAGAATTGTCTCAGATGTTCAGAGCAACATTTGTCCAGTCTTTCAGCTTTCTCAACGTTTGGTGAGAAAAGGTGTTAGAAATCACAAATACTTAAATCCTTAAAGCAGGGCTCGACATTATAAATGGCCCGCTGGCCCGGAAGCACTATTTAGACACCCCGGGCCAGCATAACGTACTTTCCACTTGCCCGCTGGGGCCACAAAAAATATTGTTTAAAAAAAATATATTGTCCTGTGGTATTGGTATTTGGACTAGCAATTTTGTTAAATTGTTTCGTTTATTAACGCTACAACATAGCGTTTCGTGAGTCGGTTGTCGTTGTTGGGTGAAAAGCAAATAACTGTTTTGTTGCGGTGCGGAGCGCAGCGCGAGCAGCTTCCCGTGAGCGCAGCGCGAGCAGGCTCCCGTGAACGGGAGCGCGCTCCTTCACTACAGACTATCGTGCCACCTTACCATTCGCCAACATGTTTTTAATACCAGCGGTAACCGGCCAAGCGCCGGGCAACAAACTATCTTCAAATAAAAGAAAGTCACCGGAGGAGTTAAAGGAGAGTGACAGGGAGCATGAGAAGAAGAGGGAGAGAAAGTTTCAGTCAGCTTGATCGATGGAGTTGGCTTCTAGTGGTGCAGTGACGCATCCTAAAACCCTTTTATAATCTATCGATTAGATTTATGATTATACAATTCTAAAAGTAGGGTAGACATGTGGAGATTATCCAGCTGAACAAAACGTGCATTCATCAAACAGGTTTGTTTTCCACAGACCTTATTTCCAGCTATTTTCCAAAACCCTGTGGAGAAATCCCATTGCTTTCTGTGGAGGGAACCAGCAGCTTACTTCCTGGTTTTAGGACGCGTCACTGCACCTCTCAATATGATACCAATATAAACAAGGTCTTCTGTCGGCTCTGTGCCGACCTATGGTGCCGAGTCCGACCTATGCTGACAAGTAAGTGAAGAGTAGACAATATAAAGGTATTGGCTATAGGGAAATGTCCCAGCAGTTTAGGATAATGAAGGTTCTAATCAAATCAATTACATAGCCATTACATGTCTAACTCCTGATGACAGGAAGGCAGAAAGTGCATTATACAAATAATACTCATAATAGCAGACATTTTTGAACAATGACCACAATATCATTATTTTAATAAACCAAATATGAACAATTGAGGAAAATGAGGAAGAACTGATGATTCAAATGTTGTAGTACAAGTAGTATGTAGTTAGTGCATAAATTACTATTGCAACAAATGTGTTAATTTTCTTCATTATTAGTCGATTTCTTTTGGACGAATGCTCCGGGCCAGTGGTTACAATGGTGGGGCCAGTGATAATAAAATTCCACCGGTCCGGAGGGCCAGCTGAATTTTACCCTTAATGTCTACCCCTGCTTAAAGTCATTATGCACTTGTCAGGACACCAGTGTGACCTTTTTGACACCAAACGTCACTGCTGAAAGGCTGCTTTTATTTCAATAAAGTTCAACCAAGAAGCTGTTTAGTGGTCCGAGTGTTTCTTTGAACTCCTGAGGCGCCCTGAGTCTTCCCACTAAAACCTGTTTGTTCCAAAAATCTTGTGTCACTTCAGAGTGAGAATGTGGGGAAGAACCAGAAACTTGTCGGGCAAGAGGGTTTACCTAATTGTTGCATAACAAGAAAAGCTTTACATAAATTGTGCGCAACAAAGTTTAGAGACCACAGTTTGGGAAGGTAAGAGATCTTGAGACGAGGACGACTCTACAAAGCTACAGGTAAATACAAAATAGATACTATTTTAAAATGTATATATTTTTCTCTTGGTGCTTTAATTGAACAATTTTACAAAACCAAATGTATCCATCTGCAGGAGTATTCAGATTATTGACTAAATCCATTGATGCATATTTTTCAAAGAATTCAAAACAGCAGTTTTGCAGAGTAATCATTTTCTCCTGGCACTTTCTTTTTCTTAACATGGTGTAGTAAAAATGATGTATGGTGTGCAGCTTGTAAAGAGCTGTTGTGATTTTTGGACATTCATTTAGGTAAAATTAGCAATATATTACTGCTCCATTATAGGTCTAGCTTTTGAAATGTGACTACAAAGTACAGTATAATTATCATCAAAATGTAATTGTAAGAAACAAACATTATTGGATTATAATTACTAGTGCATTAATGTTTAATATAATGGAGAATAGGTACAATATTTACTTCTGAATAGTCAAGTGCAAATGAATAATGACATTCTTCAAATTCAATCACATTGAATTGTGCTTTGTTACTGTATTTTAGTAAAGTACTTAAAGGTAGGGTAGGTAAGAATGGAGAAACCAGCTCGAGTGCGCTAGAATTGAAAGAATTTAGCCGAAAAAAAATCTGCCTCTTCCTTCAGACTTCCTTACAGAGCCCCTCCTCCAACACACACGAACGCTGCAACAAGTCCTCCAACTCATACGACCAAATATGCCGATTGTTCAGGCCCAATTATTACGACCAAATATGTCGTTTGTTCAATCGCTTAATACGTCCTATAATTACGTTTTAAAGTTTTCGCCCTCTAGTGCTCCCGTTGAATGCCAACGTTACTGATGGTCGTTTATTCACAAATAACCCTCTCTGTTAAAATCCTAAATTGTTTGGCCATTAAACGCTTTTTGATTAGATTTCTAGCGAGAAGTGTATATTGTACTTTTAGAATCCACCTCCAGTCGATATGTAGGATCTATAGTTTGATAGATATTACGAAGATGATTTGAGGTTTGCGGCAGCCTCCATGTAAAGTTACTGGTTGAAAACAGTATTTCTCGACGTTTTCATAATAAAACCAATGACCAAATGAGTTAACAGTGATATCTGCAGTATTCATCCACTAAAAAACATCAGTTTATCCTTGTTAATTATACGACATTTATCGGTTTAAATTGTGCACAATGCTTTTGTGTTTTTCCCATAGGGTTTTCTCTTTCGATTCTGAGACGCCTTTCTTTTTTCAGAGGTTTTGATAGGCTAAAACATCGCCGCAATGCATGTTGGGATATGGTGTTTATCCGATATGAAATCGGAAAAAACATTTTTTTTAAATAAAATATTACTTTATTCCAAGTGTTCTTGCTTTTCTCTTTGGAAGTCATCACATAACGGCATTGTAATACATGGTTCGGCTGCATTAAATATTACATATCTGCCGTAGATATTTATTTATAGAGCCTTGATCAGAAGACCTTTTGACAAACTGTAAGAAATGCCGCCAAAACTGAATACGTGACGTGGATCATAAATATATTAGCAATTAAACAACATCTTCCATTTCTTTTCACACAATACGTCTCCTTACAGTATCAACACTAATTAGGCTGACTTTTATATTTGATCCAATTGGTATAGGTTATATTTACACCATAACGGTGCACAGCTGATAGAAAGGGATTTTTTTTGTAGCTTTTAAAGATATTATTTACTACCTTTCCAACTCCTCGTGCAGTTGACTGTTACAGATCTATACAGGTTCATGGTACAATGCATAAGCTTCAAATCGAGAGACTGAAACTGTATTCTCCTTTACCGTTCTGTTTTAATTTCACAATAAAGTTAATAGTCATATTATGTTTGATATTATTATGTTTTATTAACTACACCACTGTTTTTTTAACCCGCGCCGCCTAGTGGTTAAAGCATGTTATTGAATGTTGTTGTTGAATAAGTTTTATTTGATGAACAACATTTAAATATTAAGAGTAGCCTACATACAAAATTGAAAATATCAAGAAGATGATCACTACAATAAAACAGTTTAGTGCAGGACGTCCAAAGATATTAACAGGAGGATGTGCAAAACAGACAAACTAATAAGGCTTTATTTAAACATTACTTTAAGTTAAGGTCTTCTTTTGAATAAGAAAAAAACGTTGGGGTTATCCACAGATAAATATGAAGTCTGACAAAGTGCTTTACGTCCAATATATTGCATAGTTTATTTTGGCACTTGACAATCACCTTCCCTGAATTTGAGTCAGGTGTAACTAAAGTCTGATTTAATGGTTGTTTATATTTCACATCATTAATCAGAATCTGCAAAGTAACTAAAATACATGTAGTGGAGTAAAAATACCAGGTTAACCTCTGAATTGTAGTGGAGTAGAACAAAGTAGTATGCTGCTGTAACAAAAACATTTCCCAACTTGGGATCAATAAAGTATATCTTATCTTAAGATGATCGATGGCTACTGCCATATTTGCAAAATTTGCCTCTGAACCGTGACAATTGCACAGACATAAGACCAGCTGTTAAATAAAGCTCTTCTGACCTTAGGTGTCATGTGGGTATATTAATTCACCCATTTATTAATTATATGTTTTACATTTGATAACACCACTGTGTTTCGTATCCCCTAAACCTCCAGGGGTGTACACAGTTTAATACTGGCAACTTCTAATTGTGAGAAATACGAAAACGTCTTATAAAGAGACGTGCCATATAATGTTGCGAAACACACAATAGCCAGCATGTGTAGTTCTGGATGGGGGGGGGGGGGGGGGCTGGACCATGGATGTATGGGCTGGACCCGGGGGCTGGACCCGTCCAATTCCAGTTTTGGAAAGTCTGCCGTGGTTCCATTCCATTTCAACGAGCTGTTGACGCTCAGCGTCACCTTGTCACACTGCCACTCCAACATCCAATCACAGGGCTTGAGGACTAATCATGGGGTTTGTAAAGCAAGGCGGATGTTGTAGTCCCAAACGATAGCTGGGGATTCTGTGTAGTGTCTTCGGAAACTGTAGTGTCTAAACTCCTAAAAAACTATTTGTTTCTCTGAATTGAAGGTTAAAAACACAAAAGCATTGTACACAATTTAAACCATCAATATTGTGTAATTAACAAGGATAAACTGATGTTTTTTAGTGGATGAGTAATGCCGATATCACTGTGTAATCATTTGACAGTGAGGGGAATATATCCGGTTTTATTATGAAAACTTCGAGACCGGAAAAACTGTTTTCACCCACGCGAACTTTACATGGAAGCTGCATACACGTTATCCTGGCGAGACCTCAAATCATCTTCGTAATATCTATCAAACTATAGATCCTACACATCGACTGGACGTGGATTCTAAGAGTACAATATACACTTCTTGCCAGAAATCGAATCAAAAAGCATTTTAATGGCCAAACTAGTCTACAATTTAGGATTTTCCAGAGAGGGTTATTTGTGATTAAACGAATAAACGGGAGCATGTTGTTTCATACACGACCACTAGAGGTGCTACACTTTAAAACGTGGCTATGGGTCGTAATCTAAGCTGTTTAAACAATCGACCTATTTGGTCGTTTTTTGTAGGAGGACAGGCTGGAATGCACACATGACCAATGAGGGCACGAGATAAGTGTGTGCACAGATGGAAGGCTGACAGCCAGGTAGGCCATCCAGTTATTTTAGCCGGGCCGGCTCAGATGATTGGTCGTGCTTTTTACAGCGCTACGGCTTCCACAGATGAAATTGTTTCATAAATTGTGTTTATGTATTTATTGTCAAAGCATTTAATATATTCATTGCTATCGGGATGTTAAGAGCATTCCATGGAATATAACAAAAAGTGTTTCTGACCTACCCCACCTTTAACTACTGCATGGGGCGTCGAACAGCATGCAAATAAAGGCTTTTACATATGACAATGAGCGAATGAGAACCTTTCGTTTTGTGCACAGTAAATAATGATGTGTGTGTTACAGGAACACGTGTGAAGAAAGCTGCGAGACATGAAGGGCAGGATTTCTGTCCTCTTGTTTCTCACAGGTACATTTGACTAATGTCATCAAGAAATAGTTTCCGGTTTTTCAACTCGCTTAACCAGTAGGACAACATCTTTTAATTATATTTAAAGCATATGGGTAGAGGAGAAATAGGATTGGTTTTACCCCCTGAACGACAACATGTTTACTTGGGATCCTTTATTTGTATCAATACGAGTTTTACAAGTTTTAACAATGTAAGGATTTTTCCATCATCATTCTGGGAACACGTTTTCAAACAAAAAGTATGACAAATGTTTTTTTTATATTGGTGGCAATATTGGTATCTTCATCATTGTAGTCCAGACTTAAAGGTCACCTATTATGCAAACTCCACTTGTTCATGTCTTTTGTACATAAACATGTGTCTCCTCTGTGTAAAGAGATTCAGAAAGTTTCAGGAAAAAAAAGATTCGCTCACTTTTTGTCCTGATCCATTTATATAAAAACCTGTCAAATCAGATTTTGGCCACTTTATGATGTCATAACGATTTTTTGGCTTGTGTAACCATTAGCCAATCACCAACCAAGGTAACCCCCCCCACCTTATCACCTGAATCTCCTCCTAGAGCACCATTGAGTTCTTTTGAACCAAATCTCTCTCAGAACAGTATGATAGGGGACCTTTAATTCATCTAGGTGATCCCCTGGTTTCACCTACTTGTGCTTATCGATCACGTTGAACACTATTGAAAACACTGAGTGACTTCCTACCGATGGGCATTTGTGTTTTCCATCCACAGCGCTGTGTTCTATTGCACAATGCAGCTTAAAAAGTACCACTTCATCGATGAATTGTCCTGGTTGAATGCCCAGACTTACTGCAAGAAAACTGTACACTGATCTGGCCACCGTCTCTGACATGGAAGACATGAACCAGCTGTTGCAGACAGCCAAGGGACTCCATGGAAGAATTTGGAGATCTGGCCTGGATCGGGCTGAACTTCAAAAACTGGACGTGGTCATTTTCAGACGAAGACAATGAAAGCTTCTACAGGAACTGGGATGAGCGTCAGCCCTGACAACTTTGGCGGGGACCAGATGTGTGTGAAGATGTCGGAAGGAGGGTTGTGGGAGGACGAGCAGTGCTCCCTGAGGAACTCCTTCATCTGCTATGATGGTCTCGGTCCAGATTGTATAGATATAAATCAAGTGGCTTGATGTGTTTGTATTATTTCAGGAGAGATTACAAAGAAGCTCCGACAACAATTCATGACATCTTCTCTATGCTTCGACTTTCTCTCATCTCTTTTTACTTTTTCTTCATTAGGAACAGGCGATCAGCGTTTCATTTTGGTTTTGAACAAGAGTTGACCTGGGATGACGCTCAGCTTTACTGCAGGACACGCTACACAGACCTGGCCACGGTTAGAAACCGGAAGGAGAATCAGATCATTCGTCTTTTGTTCACAGACCTGACCACAGTTTTGCTCAATCCAGAAATCATGAAAAGGGCCCCGGAACCAGCACTTTTAGTCCCACCACCTGTAGCCACATTAAGGGGCGTGTGGATCGGCCTGTTTAGGTCTGTAAAGTGCTACATATGTCCATCGTCCATCCGTATGTTTGATTGATTGTCATTTTTTAAAGGTCACCTATTATGCAAAATCCACTTCTCCATGTCTCTTCCACATCAACACGTGTCCCCTCTTCTCCATGTCTCTTCTACATCAACACGTGTCCCCTCTTCTTCATGTCTCTTCTACATCAACACGTGTCCCCTCTTCTCCATGTCTCTTCTTCTAATGATTTTAAACATGATTTCATATATTTGAAAATCTCTCTCTCTCTCTATCTCTCTCTCTCTCTCTCTATCTCTCTCTCTCTCTCTCTCTCTCTCTCTCTCTCTCTCTCTCTCTCTCTCTCTCTCTCTCTGTGTGTGTGTGTGTGGCTTCATAAAAAGTTGAATGTGTTGGCACCATATCTGTGTGTGTGGCTGAGCTCATTCAAAGGTGCTGCGTTGGGTCACCTAAACGCTCAACTGCAAGAAAGGAGAAAAGCCCTGTTAGTTACTTTAAGAAACTCCCTCTAGTGTGTGTGTGTGTGTTCGCTAAGATAAAATAGTGGCGTAGCAACTTAACTTAAAATGACGACGGCACTAATCGAGATGTTCTGGTGCATAACTGTCAGTCTTTTACCTCCTTTTATTTATTTTGACATTATTAAACACCAATATGTAGAAGTATTGGATCATTGCGTGTGGGCTGTAACAGTTTAACACGGGTAGACACTCTGAAATGACCACGAAGCATTATTATGACACAGAATAATGAACTATTTAAATCAAATCAAGTTTTATTTATATAGCACATTTTCAAAACGATTTTTGGTCAAAGTGCTGTACATACAATCAAAATACTTTACAATAAAAACACTTTACAATAAAAACACTTAACAACAGCACAAATAAAAAAATCACACCTATTCTGTGTGTTGACATTTACGACCATCCCTGCTTCCAATCTCCCGTAAGGAATGTGATAATGGAGTCGTATGTTGATACTACCAGGTTTTATGGCCTGACCTGGCGGGCACAGGGGGGGTTTTACGACTGTGAGAACGCGGGCTTCTAAGCACCACGGATGTCAGAGACATCTCCATTGTTCCCAGGTGTTCACGTACCGTCCCCCAATTGACTCTCTGTATACTAGTTAAAAGGTCTACCAAGATGCGAGGCGGATCAGATTTGACATGGCAACCCACCCGTGCAGTCAGAACCTTTGACTGTGTGACTTGTGATGTGAATTTCTCCGGCCGATGCTTGTATTAAAGATCCGTGTTTGACATCAAAGCTCCAACTCTCCTCGTGTCTCTGAGTCCTGACTTTCCATTGCTGCAGAAGTTTCCCTTACAACACACAGGGAAATGTCAGGAGTCGTGCTCCGCTCAGACTAGAAGGCCAGAGAGAAGAAGTGAGTCTTTAGTGTAGATTTAAAAACCCCTAGGGTCTGGGCCGACCTCACATGGCTAATATTAGTCATATATGTGCAGTAAGGTATTCTATGCCAATATCACAATAGACTTATTATGTTATTACTTATTTCTTTTTATATTGTTTTTCTCACAGAAAATCATTTGTGACCCGGGGAGTATACTACGAAGCAGGATTTTCGCTTAGCGGCTAACTTCAGGGAAAACTCCGGCTTTCCGGTCCTACGACGCTGGTTCTCTTTTTAGCAGGCTAGATCTCCATGGTAACTTATGCTGAGCGGCTAACCTTCCCCCGGAGCAGGTTAGGTTGCAGGCTAAGAGATCAACTCAGTGAAAGCACTGCCTGCTGACCAATCAGAGCTCAGTGTGCAGAGTTTAAAGCGATCAAGTCATATTACAGGAGAAAGTCTCCTGCAACGGCCGCCGGCAAAAATCACCGACTGTGTGAACGTGAACATTAATAGAATATCACCTCCATCTTCAGAATAATCTGACTATTATAACATTGGCGTTAAGAAAGCTTACTTAAATATCTGCCACGACATAACGGATCAGAGTAACATTAAGTACAGTCCGCGGCATATCACTTCATAATGTATCATATTTTCTTATCTGAGTCAGCTGAGCCGTATCTGGCCGTGCAACACTCACAGTGTCACATACTGTATGCAGAAGTATTATTTTAAGCAACACATTAAGTTGACGAAACACTCGAGTCAAATGTAATTAAAGTCAGATCGTGTCTTAGACGGGGCAGTGATATCATAAACCTGTTAATGTACGCATTCAAACACTTGTTCTGTTACCAGCTGTATTCACCTTGCAGGTGCAGCTATGTGGCTTTGATCCTGGATAAAGTGTTTAAGTCATGGATGTTTAAAGTTTAACTTCTTCATATGTCTAATATTAAGTTGACTTTTCATTCAGGAAGTATGACGCTGCGCTGTCAGTACGCTTCTCCATGTTTGTGATTGGTCGAATGCTCCAAATACCACCCCTTTCATGTGAACACCTAACTAGATAGGAAACGGCTGGCTTGAGCGATTCACTTGATAACCCGCGTCGTAGTACAGTTTAGCGAGAGCGTGTATGTTTTGGATTAGGCCAACCGGCTAACTCAAACATATCCAGGTTAGGTTGAACCGGCTTCGTAGTACAGGCCTCTGCTCTATCGAAATCAGTCGGAAGGCGCAAAGTCTCATTTCAAAATAAACGTGGATTTGCGTAAAAAAAAAAGTTTTTCGGGGTTCGGGTGTTTGTGTTGATTTTAAATAAACAAAGTGTTGGCTTTCAGAATATGAAACTTTTATTTCCAAAATCACACGATAAATACATGTTTGAAGCTTGTAAAGGGAAGACGACAGCTCTCCCTCGCCACTCTGCTGTTCCGCAGCGCCGCCCCCCTCCCTCCGCTGACATTATGAATGTAAGGTTGTAGCTTGCTGGTAAAAACATGTGTAGCCCCTTGATGCCATGCTAAGACAATCTTAATAATGTTTAAAAGTCACCGTTGAACCTAAATCTCTTCGTTGACATCATCCAGATTATTTAGCAGGAGGTCATTTTCCGCTTTCAAACCATCCAAGTGATCGAATGTCACCACATGAGACCGACCCTTCTTCAAAACGCCAAGCTCTAGATTAAGATGGAGGCGTGTGGCGTAGTGGGTTAGTGCCTAGGTGTTGGGGTCAGGGGGTCACAGGTTCAAACCCCACTGCAGTCAGCATGTCGTTGTGTCCCTGAGACTCTTCACCCCAAATTGCTCCTGTGGGAGCCACAGTATTGAGTATGTAAGTCGCTTTGGATAAAAGCGTCTAACAAGTAACATGTAATAATAAAAAAAAGATCCATGTTAATAATGTTTTTTTTTTTTAAATCGTACATTTGGGAAAACCCGGCGCTCCCGGAGAAATCCCGCTATGCCAAGTTGACAAGTTAATGAACTTTAACCCGTGGTATTTATCTCGTTGTAATTGTAGCTTGCTGGAAGAATATCTAAGCCCCCTGATGTCATGCTAAGACATCTTACTAATGTTTGTTTTTTTTAAATCGTACATTTTGGGAAAAACCCGGTGCCCCCGGAGAAAACCCGTTATGCCACGGATAAGTTAGTGGCTTTTATCTCCTGGCTCCTGAACCGTTTTCATGTGTTCAAGGAAGTCATTGTCAACGGTGACGTTGTTCACATTCAAGCCGTTCATTCGGTCCTGATCGCCGTTTGGATTCTGAACCGCTGTGTTTCTTTCCCTCAGCGGCTCATCACACATAGACTGCAGGTCGTTTATCTTTTCCTGCACGGTTTTGTTCTGAGAACGACCCTTCCTCAAAACACCAATCTGTAGGTTAAGATCCACGAGATCCTTCGACATGGCGGCCCTATCACACCTCAAGGTCTCGTTGGATGCCTTCAAAGCCTTGTACTTGATCATGAGATGCTTTTCCTTGTGAACCTCATTGCTCAAACCCTGGATCTTTTTAATCAAAGCCTCGTTCTTCCTCGTAACGTCCTCTCTCTCAGCTTTCGCCTCCTTGTAAGAGTCCTCGAGCTCCATGAAACGCAGATGCCTTTCCTTGAGCTGCAACACTTCTTCTCGCAGGGAGACATGTTCGAGGCTCATGGCGGCTTTTTCTGTCACCATTGCGTTGCAACTTTCCATAATGGTGTCCTCGTTCTCAAGTTCTTGGCACAACTCGACTTTCTTTTGTTGCAACAATTGCATTTGCTGGAAAATCAACTCTTTTTCTTCCTTCGCAATGTTGTATGACCCCAGAAGATCCTCTAAACCCAGAAGCCTCCTTGAAAGCTCAAAGATCTCTTCTTGCAAGTCTTCGGTTTGGCTCATTTCCTCATATTTCGACCGGTTCATTTCGTCTATCTCAAACTGCACCATGCTTTCATTTTCAAGCTCCCTGCAGAGATCGCCCACTTCCTGCTGCAGAGCCTGGTTCTTCTGGAAACCATCTCTATCTCTGCCTTAGACACTTGGAAACGATCCTGAAGTTGCTCTTTCCTTTGTTTGAGATACTGAAGTTCTTCCTCAAGGCCATCATTTACTCTGATGGTTTCCTCTGCGTCACTTCTCAATGCATCGAGCGTTTCCTCTGCAGCAGAATAGCTTTGGATCGATGAACGCACCTCTTTAATCTGTGCTTCGAGCTTCTCTGTCCACATAGTGCAGCTTCATGCTCAGCTTTGATAGCATCGATGCTATCCAGCTCATCTAGCTTGTCAAACATCTGTTCCTCGAGGATCTGTCGTTCACGCTCCAATTCCTTGTTTGTCTGGATTAGTCCCTGGAACATCGCCTCTACGGTAACGTTATTTTCGATCTTCTCATTAAGAACCCTCACTGCTTTTTCGAGGTAGGCACACTTGCGCCTCGCGACATGTCCCTCTGCCTTCAGAGCGTCAAACTGCTCCCCCAGCGCTGGAAAGCTGCCGAACTGTTTTTCTATGGATTGCATTTCCACATGTAGGGTCTTGAGATGTTCTTGAACTGCCCCAAGACTCCTCCTAACTCCAGCGTAGTCACCTCCCAATTCCGCTTGTTCCTTATTGCACGACATTTTTTTAAGATGACAATGATACACACACAGTAGCAACTGGTAATACCTAACTGTTTGTGTTGTCAGCGTCAGACTGGTTTCTGCTAAGCCAAGATATGCTGTGCCTTGAAACTCAAACTGGTCTCCTTGCAGGTTCCCATTTGGAACTATCGATGAGGTCACAAAGCACATCACAGCATCATCATGACATCACTTGGAATTTCTACACAATGCTCACATGTAGAGATGTGGCCATGGCAACAGTGAAGATGCATTCTGGGTAACTTTGCCCAGGCATTCCATTTTTGAAAAAACAACAACAAGATGGCTGACTCCTACTCTCTATTCTACTCAATATTAAGGGAGTTCTTTGTGGAGGATTATGTAGTGAAAATGAACACACCGATGTTCTGAAACTAATATATAAAAAGGGACTTGTGTTGGGATGTCCTGTTAACAATAAACCATTATTATTACTCAAAAATTGTCGTCAAAAGCAGAGAAAATACTTCCTAATAATACTCTTTATTCAAAAAAAATGTTGAGTCTGTAGGTATGAAATATTAATGTTTTTGGTACAAAATTAGCTTGAGAACAATTTTTTATTGGCCATTTATTGACTGATACGACGGCACAGGGTACCCTGATCAGAGCGTCCTGAATATTTGTATTTTAATTCAGTTAACTTTTATGTGTCTGTAGCCAGATCTGGGCAGTAAGTACACGGCCTGGTCTTCAGTGAGCACTCTGATCCAGAAGAACCTGATGATGAAGACCCACAACCCTGCAAGGTACAGAGGAAACACCACACACACGCACGATTGATTGACACACATTATTTCTGTACGATTTCAGATTCAGAGTGTTTTGAAGTGGAAACGGGGGCTTCTCTTTCGTTTAAATGGAGTTCACTCTTCCTCCCTCTTCAGGTATTCTCTGACAGAAGAGGGTCTGGCTTTAGGGGAGCTCGAGTCTTTAGAGGGAACTAAAGGTCCAGAAGGAGACAGAGAGGAGGCCAGGAGTGAAGGAAACGAGCAGGAGGAGGGAGAAGAAGGTGGCCCGGGGATTGTGGACCTCACTGTTAGTGATGATGACGAAGAGGAGAAGGAAGAGGAGAGAATACAGTGAGTGTGCTTCAAAACTTCTGGGACAAAAACGTATCATTATCTCAACAAGTAACTCTACTCTGAAATGCATTTAAGCTCGTACCTTTATTTTCCTTTTGTCATATGTTGTATATACTAAGTGTTTAGAGACCATTTAAACATTCAAGATTCAAGATAACGTGGTCTTGGTTCTGACAATCTTAAGTCCCAGCCTCCTCCAACAACTTACGACATAAAAAGGAATAAATATAGTCCAAAAATATATAGAACGGTGCAAGTAAAAAGCAAAAATAGGTCAACTATATACATGTAAAAAGTAAATACAGAAAAATACGGTGCTTTCTACTTTAATATACGAAAATACGTAGACTTTCCTTTGTGTGTTTTAGCTTGTAATGTTTCTGATGAACTCTCCAATTGTAGATCCATCCATCCATCCATCCATCTTCTCCCGCTTATCCGTGATCGGGTCGCGGGGGTAGCAGTTCCAGCAGAGAGCCCCAAACTTTCTTTTCCCTGGCGACATCAACCAGCTCTGACTGGGGGATCCCAAGGCGCTCCCAGGCCAGCGAAGAGATATAATCCCTCCACCTGGTCCTAGGTCTACCCCTTGGTCTCTTCCCAGCTGGACGTGCCTGGAACACCTCCCTAGGGAGGCGCCCAGGTGGCATCCTAACTAGGTGCCCGAACCACCTCAACTGGCTCCTTTCGACGCGAAGGAGGAGCGGCTCAACTCCGAGTCCCTCCCTGATGACCGAACTTCTCACCTTATCCCTAAGGGAGACACCAGCCACCCTGCGGAGAAAACCCATCTCGGCCGCTTGTATCCGCGATCTCGTTCTTTCGGTCATGACCCATCCTTCATGACCATAGGTGAGGGTAGGAACGAAAATGGCCCGGAAGACCGAGAGCTTTGCCTTCTGGCTCAGCTCCCTTTTCGTCACAACGGTGCGGTAAAGCGACTGCAGTACCGCTCCCGCTGCTCCGATTCTCCGGCCCATCTCACGCTCCATTGTTCCCTCACTCGAGAACAAGACCCCGAGATACTTGAACTCCTTCACTTGGGGTAAGGACTCATTCCCTACCTGGAGTGGACAGTCCATCGGTTTCCTGCTGAGAACCATGGCCTCAGATTTGGAGGTGCTGATCCTCATCCCAGCCGCTTCACACTCGGTTGCGAAACCGATCCAGTGAGTGCTGAAGGTCGCAGACCGATGAAGCCATTAGAACCACATCATCTGCAAAAAGCAGTGGTGCAATCCTTAGTCCACCGAACTGCAGACCCCCTCCCCCATGACTACGCCTCGAAATCCGATCCATGTATATTACAAACAGGATTGGTGACAAAGCGCAGCCCTGGCGGAGGCCAACCCTCACCGGAAATGGGTCCGACTTACTGCCGAGGACCCGGACACAGCTCTCGCTTTGGGAGTACAGAGATTGGATGGCCCTGAGTAGAGACCCCCTCACCCCATACTCCCGCAGCACCTCCCACAGTAACTCCCTGGGAACTCGGTCATACGCCTTCTCCAAGTCTACAAAACACATGTAGACCGGATAAGCGTACTCCCAGGCCCCCTCCAGGATCCTTGCGAGAGTAAAAAGCTGATCCGTCGTTCCACGACCAGGACGGAATCCGCATTGTTCCTCCTCAATCTGAGGTTCGACAATCGGCCTGACCCTCCTTTCGAGTACCTTAGAGTAAACTTTCCCGGGGAGGCTGAGTAGTGTGATGCCTCTGTAATTGGCACACACCCTCTGATCCCCCTTTTTAAATAGGGGAACCACCACCCCGGTCTGCCACTCCTTCGGTACTGTTTCCGACTTCCACGCAACGTTGATGAGACGTGTCAACCATGACAGTCCCTCAACACCCAGAGCCTTCAGCATTTCCGGGCGGATCTCATCCACCCCCGGGGCTTTGCCACTGTGGAGTTGTTTGACGACCTCAGTGACCTCCCCCGGGAGATTGGTGTTGATCCCCCGTCATACTCCAGCTCTGCCTCTAACATAGAGGGCGGAGTTGTCGGGTTCAGGAGTTCCTCAAAGTGTTCCTTCCAACGCCCTAACACTCCATCAGTTGAGGTCAACAACGTCCCATCCTTACTGTACACAGCTTGGATGGTTCCCTGCTTCCCCCTCCTGAGGTGTCGTACAGTTTTCCAGAACAACTTTGGTGCCGCCCGAAAGTCCTTCTCCATGTCTTCTCCGAACTTCTCCCACACCCGCTGCTTTGCCTCGGCCACGGATGAGGCTGCTGCCCTTCGGGCCTGTCGGTACCTTGCAACTGCCTCGGGAGTCCCCGGGATAACAAATCCCTGAAGGCCTCCTTCTTCAGTCGGACGGCTTCCCTGACCACCGGTGTCCACCAGGAGGTTCGAGGGTTACCGCCCCTTGAGGCACCTAGGACCTTGAGACCACAGCTCCCCGCCGCGGCTTCGGCAATAGAGGCTTTGAACACCGACCACTCTGGTTCAATGTCCCCAACCTCCACAGGAATGCCCGAAAAGCTCCGCCGGAGGTGTGAGTTGAAGGCCTCCTGAACTTGGGCCTCCTCCAGACGTTCCCAGTTCACCCGAACTACACGTTTGGGCTTACCAGGTCTATCCAGAGGCTTCCCTCGCCACTCGACCCAACTCACCACCAGATGGTGATCAGTTGACAACTCCGCCCCTCTCTTTACCCGAGTGTCCAAAACATACGGCCTCAGGTCCGATGATACGATAACGAAATCGATCATGGACCTTCTGCCTAGGGTGCTCTGGTACCACGTACACTTATGAGCATCCTTATGTTCGAACATGGTGTTTGTTATGGCCAATCCATGACTAGCACAGAAGTCCAGTAACAAACCACCACTCCGGTTCAGATCAGGGGGCCGTTCCTCCCAATCACGCCCCTCCAAGTGTCTCCATCATTGCCCACATGTGCGTTGAAGTCTCCCAGCAAGATTAAAGAGTCCCCTTCAGGAGCCCCATACAGGACTCTTTCCAGGGTCTCCAAGAAGGCCGTATACTCTGAACTGCTGTTGGGTGCATAAGCACACACAACAGTCAGAGTTTTCCCCCCCATAACCCGCAGGCGTAGGGAGGCGACCCTCTCGTCCACTGGGGTAAACTCCAACAACGAAGCACCTAACCGGGGACTTGTGAGTATCCCCACACCCGCCCGGCGCCTCACACCTTGAGCAACTCCGGAGAAGAATAGAGTCCAACCCCTATCCAGAAGTAAGGTTCCAGAGCCGACGCTGTGCGTAGAGGTGAGCCCAACCAGATCCAACTGGTAACGCTCCACCTCCCGCACAAGCTCCGGCTCCTTCCCCCCCAGAGAGGTGACGTTCCACGTCCCCAAAGCCAGCTTCTGTCGCCCGGGTCTGGTCCGTCGAGACCCTCCGCTTTCACTGCCACCCTTCTGGCAGCGCACCCGACCCCATTGATGTTTCCCGTAGGTGGTGGGCCCGCGGGACGGAGAAGCGGAGGTGTTGCTCACGTTGCCTTTTCGGGCTGGGCCCGGCCGGGCTCCGTGGCAAGCCCGGCCACCAGACGCTCGCCGACGAGTCCTCCTTCTGGGCCTGGCTCCAGAAGGGGACCCGGGCTTCCTCCGGGCCGGGTATCCTCACTTCTTGTATCGTCTTTCATGAGGTCTTTTGAACCAATCTTAGTCTGGCCCCTTGCCTGAGACCAATTTGCCATGGGAAACCCTACCAGGAACACAAGGTTCCAGACAACACAGCCCCCAGGTTCATCAGGGCACACAAACCTCTCTACCACGGTAAGGTGCTGGTTCTTCAGAGAGGATTGTAGTATTGTAGATTGTAGATGTAGATGTGGAAGTAATATATATTTAAGACCGAAATATCTCCATTATGTTTTATGATTGCACTTGTGTTGTTGAACTGTTTGTCAATACAATAAAAGGAATTGAACCGTCTTTTTCCAGACCTGCAGAGAGGCCGACCTCCTCTGCTTCCCAGCCGAGGGTTCTCGTTCCTGGGATGTTCTTTTCAGGAAACCCCGAAATGTACCGAGCAGAAACCCAAATTCCTGGAGTCTCCTTCCCGGCTCCTACGAGATCATCCTCTGTGTGGACTTCATTGAGACAACGGGGTAAGACCGCTGTGTGTTTTAAACTGTGTGAATCAAAGTGTGTGTGTGTGTGTTTCCTGAACGGTCGGTGTGTTTGTGAAGCGGAAGCAAAAACTGCAAGCAGGATCTGGTCAAAGAGCTGCAGAGGAACGGAGTGACGTTCGATGTGAGGAAGCTCAACGTGGGAGATTTCCTGTGGGTCGCTCGGGAAAAGGTCGCGCCTATTCCAGGTAACACAACGTAGAAAACAACTCGCCTATTGTGCAAAATCCACTTCTCCATGTCTCTTCTACATCAACATGTGTCCCCTCTTCTTCATGTCTCTTCTACATCAACAGTGTCCCCTCTTCTTCATGTCTCTTCTACATCAACACGTGTCCCCTTTCTTCATGACTCTTCTACATCAACATGTGTCCCCTCTTCTTCATGACTCTTCTACATCAACATGTGTCCCCTCTTCTTCATGTCTCTTCTACATCAACATGCGTCCCCTCTTCTTCATGTCTCTTCTACATCAACATGTGTCCCCTCTTCTTCATGTCTCTTCTACATCAACATGTGTCCCCTCTTCTTCATGTCTCTTCTACATCAACATGTGTCCCCTCTTCTTCATGACTCTTCTACATCAACATGTGTCCCCTCTTCTTCATGTCTCTTCTACATCAACATGTGTCCCCTCTTCTTCATGTCTCTTCTACATCAACATGTGTCCCCTCTTCTTCATGTCTCTTTACATCAACATGTGTCCCCTCTTCTTCATGTCTCTTCTACATCAACATGTGTCCCCTCTTCTTCATGTCTCTTCTACTCAACATGTGTCCCCTTCTTCATGTCTCTTCTACATCAACACGTGTCCCCTCTTCTTCATGTCTCTTCTACATCAACATGTGTCCCCTCTTCTTCATGTCTCTTCTACATAAACATGTGTCCCCTCTTCTTCATGTCTCTTCTACATCAACATGTGTCCCCTCTTCTTCATGTCTCTTCTACATCACATGTGTCCCCTCTTCTTCATGTCTCCTCTACATTAACATGTGTCCCCTCTTCTTCATGTCTCTCTACATCAACATGTGTCCCCTCTTCTTCATGTCTCTTCTACATCAACATGTGTCCCCTCTTTTCATGTCTCTTCTACATCAACATGTGTCCCCTCTTCTTCATGTCTCCTCTACATTAACATGTGTCCCCTCTTCATGTCTCCTCTACATCAACATGTGTCCCCTCTTCTTCATGTCTTCTAAATCAACATGTGTCCCTCTTCTTCATGTCTCTTCCACATCAACATGTGTCCCCTCTTCTTCATGTCTCTTCTACATCAACATGTGTCCCCTCTTCTTCATGTCTCTTCTACATCAACACGTGTCCCCTCCGTGGAAAGAGACTCTGAAAGTTTTCAGGAACAAAGATTCTCTCTCTTTTTGATCCATTTCTATAAAAACCTGTCTGAAAATGAGCTGATCAGATTTTGGACACTTTATGATGTCATAACGATTTTTTGGCTTGAGTAACCATTAGCCAATCACCAACCAAGGTAACCCCCCCCCCCTTATCACCTGAATCTCTCCTAGAGCACCATTGAGTTCTTTGTAACCAAATGTCTCTCAGAGGGGCGTGGGGGGGCTCCTTATTTTCATCTAAAGTAACAAGACAGAGATCAGCACTTTGGAAACAGGGCTGAAACAGAGGGGATTATGGGTAATGCTGCAATGATCTGTTTGGTGTTTCAGCCAACCAGAGACATGTTTTGTATATATCTGAGACCTGTGATATATTGATGAAAACAGTATAATAGGGGACCTTTAAGTAAAATACAAATACAGGACCCTAGAATATTCTGTGACAAGTCTTTGTTTCTCTGTGAAGGACACGGGAATGGTCGGATAAAAGTGGCTCCACCTTCCGCTACTGGAAAACAGGACAGCCTGATAATGATGGGCGAAGTCCGAACTGTATTGCAACTGATCTGGGCAACAATGGCCTGTGGTCCGATGACTCTGCAGCAGAAGGCTCCCTTTTTTCTGCTATGAACTACATGGTGAGTGTTTAACTAAGTTTTGCTGAACGCGACCTTTGCTTGTGTTCAGTGGTTATTGTTTTCCTAAAGAAACCATTAATGGAGAGAA